CTGGATCAGGTACATGATTGCCACGACCATTGCACTGATCAGAAAGAACGGTATGAGCGGCCGCAGGTAAGCCCACACGACCCCCACCTCATATCCCAAAGATCCCAACCCACCTTGGTTACCAGTGTGAGAAGTGCGGCGGGACGAGCCTGGGAACAGGGTGGGAGAACCATCCCGCGCACCACGCGTGTTGGAAGGCGGGGGAGCGAGGTAATCCATACTGGAGTAGTAGAATGAACAGTGATGCAAAACTGTCTGAATATTTAAGTTATTTTATAGCCGGATGTCTTAAATTAGTCTAGTAATCCATTGGAAAAAAGAATGCAAAGAACATTCTCTAATTCTGTAGTTCCAGTGTCTTGTCACTCTCTAATCTAGTGCACCAGACAATTCCTGTGCTCAACAGCCTGGGTATGAGGTTGCTCTCTCTCACAGACAGCCACACACAAACACTAGTTACCCCCAGTGCTTGAGAATAGTCCATGGCTCATAAGGCCCTTTGCTCCGAGTTTGACCTGAAGAGTTGAATCAGCACGGGTCAACATTATTAAATCCTCACTAACATGCCATTGCCTCTGTCTCAATCTGTTCTTTAGTTTTCCTTCTCGTGCCCTGCTGTGTGGATTCTGGAAAAACATGACACTGCGCATGATTGAGAGAGCAAATGAAGGAGAGTGGGATCTTTAAATAGATGTAGTACCAGTAAAAAGGGAGCAAGGAGAAATAATCTGCTGTATTAAGTGCTTTCAAGTTTAGGGGGAGGGACACAGGCTGCATGCATACTGTACACCCTCTTGCATGCACTCTCTATTAAAACACTTATTCTCGCTCTCACACACACACGGAGTCATGATCCATCCTACAGCTGTCGTTAAATTGCATAGGCTAGTGTTTCCCCAACTCTGGTCCTCAAGTACCCCCAACAGTACATATTTTATGTTGTGGCCCCGGACAAGCACTGGTGGTCCTCTGTAGCTCAGCTGGTAGAGCACGGCGCTTGTAACGCCAAGGTAGTGGGTTCGATCCCCGGGACCACCCACACGTAAAAATGTATGCACGCATGACTGTAAGTCGCTTTGGATAAAAGCGTCTGCTAAATGGCATATTATTATTATTATTATTATACTTGTCTCTAATCATCAAGCCTTTGACAAGATGAATCACGAGGCTACAGCGAAAATGTGTGCTCTTGGGGAAACATGCGCTGAATACAACAGGTGTAGTAGACCTTACAGAGAAATGCTTACTTAACTAACAATGCAGTTTAAAAAAAAAAAGTGTTAAGTAAAAAATAGATCAGTAACAAATAAAAATAAATAATAAAATAGCAGCAGTAAAATAAAATAACAGTAGGGAGGCTATATACAGGGGGCACCGGTTAGTTGAGGTAATATGTACATGTGGGTAGACTTAAAGTGACTATGCACAGATAATAAACAGAGTAGCAGCAGCGTAAAAGAGGGGGTGGGGTGGGGGTGACAATGCAAATAGTCCAGGTAGCCATGATTAGCTGTTCAGGAGTCTTATGGCTTGGGGGTAGAAGCTGTTAAGAAGCCTTTTGGACCTAGACTTGGCGCTCCGGTACCGCTTGCCGTGCGGTAGCAGAGAGAACAGTCTATGACTAGGGTCGCTGGAATCTTTGACAATTTTTAGGGCCTTCCTGTGACACTGCCTGGTATAGAGGTCCTGGATGGCAGGAAGCTTGGCCCCAGTGATGTACTGGGCCGTTAGCACTACCATCTGTAGTGCCTTGCGGTCGGAGGCCGAGCAGTTGCCATACCAGGCAGTGATGCAACCAGTCAGGATGCTCTCGATGGTGCAGCTGTATAACATTTTGGAGGATCTGAGGACCCATGCCAAATCCTTTCAGTCTCCTGAGGGGGAATAGGCTTTGTCATGCCCTCTTCGCGACTGTCTTGGTGTGTTTGGACCATGATAGTTTGTTGGTGATGTGACACCAAGGAACTTGAAGCTCTCAACCTGTTCCACTACGGGCGTGCTCAGTCCTCTTTTTTTCTCCCTGTAGGCCACAATCATCTCCTTTGTCTTGATCACGTTGAGGGAGAGGTTGTTATCCTGGCACCACACGGCCAGGTCTCTGACCTCTTTATAGGCTGTCTCATCGTTGTCGGTGATCAAGCCTACCACTGTTGCGTCGTCTGCAAACTTAATGGTGTTGGGAGTTGTGCCTGGCCATGCAGTCAAGGGTGAACAGGGAGTACAGGAGGGGACTGAGCATGCGCCCCTGAGGGGCCCCTGTGTTGAGGATCAGCATGGCAGATGTGTTGTTAACTACCCTTAAAACCTGGGGGCAGCAGTCAGGAAGTCCAGGATCCAGTTGCATAGGGAGATGTTTAGTCCCAGGGTCCTTAGCTTAGTGATGAGCTCTGAGGGCACTATGGTGTTGAACGCTGAGCTGAAGAGATGGCTCAAATACTGGTAAGGGTTTACAAGTGCACATTGAGGCACTTTAAAAAAGGTCCAATGCAGCAGTTTTTAATCTCAATATCAAATCATTTCTGGATAACAATTAAGTACCTTTATTTTATTACAATTGTCAAAAAGAAACAAAATAGCTTCTTAGTAAAGAGCAATTTCTCAAGCAATAATTTTGCTAGGACTGTCTGGGAGTGGTCTGAGTGGGGAGGGGAAAACTGAAAACTAGCTGTTATTGGTCACCAGGCAGGCCAAAACTCCATCCTACCAAAACAGCCTGAAATTTCAGGGGTCTTTTCAAACAGCTCTTACACTAAAAAGGCATGATCATTTTCACAGTATTATTCCAACCTCAGTGTGGAAATAGAAAACACAGGAAAATCACATTTTTGACTGCACTGGCCCCTTAAAGTCCTCATATTCATCCCAGTCACGAACACACACACAAACCCAATACCTCATGTACCCACACCCACCCTGGTAATCTTCTCACAGCGTGAGACATGAGACAAAGGCTGAGCACATAAATGTAATAAACAAATTTTTTTTATCTGTGGTCAAATGTTCCCCATAGCCTTTTAGAAAGCTTATCCTGGCTTTAGAGTCAGCGCAATAGCAATGGCTAAGACTAACGGTTTGGGCTATAATATTGGCCAAGGTGTGGACTCAAAAGCAAATTCAGAGGGCTAAAGAAACAACATTTTAGGCAATTCAAAATGTAGAACACTTGAAAAGAAAAGGAGAGCTCCTAGAGTGTGCAGCTCTCCTTTTCTTTTTCAAGTGTTCTACTCCGTTAGCCAGCACCTCGCCTAAATAGGTGTGTTTCTTTTGCCTCCATATTAATCTGAAAATGTAGAAACATATACAAAAAAAATTGGGTGGGAGGGGGGGGGGGTGGGGGGCACAAGACTGAGCAGACCACACAAAGCTTAAAAGCATTCTTGACTATTAAGGTGTGAATGTGTTTGAAGAGAGGGAGTCTGGTTACCCAGACAGACTAAGCTGTACCCCTTTAATTAGATGTGTTTATCCCCAAGTACACATCTCCAGCTGTCACACACACACAAACCATGATACTTGATAGCACAATGAAGAAGTCTATGGGTAACGCTAGTTAGCATTGGCTCACGAAACTACCTCTAACTTCCTTCTTGCTGGACAGAGACATAAAAATGGTATCCACAAGTTCATCTGACTCTGGGGAAGTAGATAAAGGGCCTCACTGCCAACATCCCGAAGTATCCCTTTAACATCAAATCTGGTCTGAGAAAAGATCTTTATTTTATAAAACAGTATTGCCAGTTACATACTCTTACTGAAGAAAATGAAACTTTTCTGAGCCAAGGCAAGTTCATCATAATTGTACATGAATAGGCAATGCTACAGAGAAACGATGCATGTGGAAACAATATTAAAGAAACAATGATGATTAGTCTCCTTTGCAATTAAAGGAAAGTTGTAAAAGCAGAATAAAAAAGTAGAATAGAGATTGCATAATGCTTCACCCACCACTCCCAAATCAGAAAACAATATTAAAAATGCAAAACACGGACACAAAATTAAAAGTCAAAGTACAAAAAAAAATAAAAAATACCAAAATGTGCTTTTCATTTTTTCCCCCTAGTCTATGCTCAAGTCTGGTCCTGCTGTCTGTCTGTCTATACTTGAGTCACCTCTGAGGAATCCAATTCTCCAGAAACATAACAAGTGTAATTTCTAGAGAAAACCAACCCCCTTCTCCTTTTCAACCAATGCCATTGCAATGGGTCCATATGTACAGCACATTGTTCTGGCTAGTGTAACAGTAGGTACTGACTGAACTAGTGTTATTATTAGTGGTATAAGGGGTTCAGAGCATTGCTGATAGAATAAGTATATTTCTTAGAACAGACTATTAATGTCTAACATGCGGAATCAAGAATCTGCCAGTTCTATGCAAAATGTTTATAATGGAAGCATTCAAAACAACCCACCCTAGGGAACAGGCCCCAGGTCTGTAGTGGGGTCCTGTATAATAGTGTGGGGAATGCGTTCCTAGTGTTGTAGTTTAGTGTTGGAATGTTATCTAGTGTATGAGCAATGTAGGACTAAGAGCTGTGGTGCTTGTTAACAGTGTGAACAGCATCTTCCAGCTACCTGCACAGCAGCAGCAAAATCCGCACTCTCACAGCCATAGTTAACCACATACAGACTCAGGAGTGTAAAAAACAGCAATCTAACGTTCTTATCACGTTAAAATGTTTTATATTAGGTATCACTCAACAACTTAAAGAGAGGCAGTTGGTACATCTGTAAAAGCACAATTGAAAAGAACCAAGACAAAAAAATGAAATATTTGCAAAAGGAGTAGAAAACACTTGAAAGCACACAATATGAAGTCCTTAAAAATAAACAGGCTCATATGGGTTGTTTGTTTGTTAACAAACAAAAACTCTCATGCACACACACATCCCTCACACACAGGTCTCCTGAATGACTCTCACTTACACACCGGCCTCACACTCTCTCCCAACTACCCCAAAACCAACCAGCCCGTAAGATAACTAGAAAATATGAAAATAACTCCTTTACAAACAAACATTCCGAATCTATGAGGACCGAGCCCCATTGGTCCACCAGCCACTCATGACCTTTCCACTCACCAATCCCAATCTGGGCACTACTTAAATTAAAATCAACCTTAAAAAAGGTGTAGACACCTTCCTCCCCAATCAGACATGTCCTCTTTTATATCAGGATGCAGATGATGGCAGCGACCTGATTCACGACGACAAAGAAAACAACAAAACATTTGAACGAGTATGAGGATTCTAACGAACAACAGGAAACGCTAATTGAGCCAAATGTTGGATGTAAGTAATCATAGAAAAAACAGAAATAAACAATGATTGTCAAACAAAGACTATTGCCTTGAGAAAGGGAATATCGATATCATTTAAATAACAGGGAATATATTTCTGACGTTACTATGGTGTGTGTCGTCAGTTTGAGTGTTAAATATCACTCTGATTGCAACACAACTGCTTTCTTTGGACGCCAACCCTCATCTTCATAACCACATAGCCTTGTGATGGAAGGAGCGAGCGAGAGAGAGCGAGTCTGTGGGTCTCTAGTATTCTCTCCTCAGTAGCAGTGGTAGGGCTGGGGCAGCTCACCCTGGGTAATGCACACCATCAGTTTTTCTGGAGGAAGAGGAGAGGAGGATAAATAATACATGTTATCAGTGCATGTGGTAATATTTCAAAAAGAGTCAAACAAACCGCACACAAGACGATTTTGTGGTACAAGTATGTCAGTCTATACACAATATGCCAAAATGCAAATGCCTAGGGTATACTGTTAGCTTTAGGGTTTATGATACACCGCAATGCACAAGTACAAGTCCACATAGCATACTATACCAGTGTGAAAGCCTTCAAATCAGTTTTTACTGCACATTATACTGTGTACAAAACCAAGGTACTGAAATAATACAATATAGACAGAGTTAGAGCAGAAGTGTCATTATAGGTTATAAAGAGACAAAGGATGGAGATATAGAGTCCATGCAGGACAAGAGGTGAAACGTACCATGCTGTTACATGCAGAGGGGGAGAGGGGAGGGGGGCTAACCATCGTAGGAGTCCAACAGAGGCAGGGAACCCTTTCTGCCCCCATACACCCCACGCTGAGAGACGGAACGAGACAGACAGAGAGAGAGAGAGAGATTGTGGAAGAGATTTCGTGAGTAGAGGTAGCGGTCGTCAACCAAAAGGCAAAATAGAGACGTTTTAAAAAGGTGTGAAGGAGAGAGAACGGGTTAGTAAAGGCAAGTGTGTTTAAGTGAAATAAAAAATTTGTACAGGGCGGGGGGGGCGGGGGGGGTCTGTTACCTGTAAAGTGTCTGTGGTGTCGAGGGAGTTGTCCAGAGAGTGTCTCCTCTCCCGCTGGTCCAGTGTAGAGTAGGCTTCTAAAAAGGGAGGGAGGAAGAGCATGACTCAACATTGATAAAATAAATATTAACAAATCTAATCTTTGGCCTTCGCTTTGACAGTGTTTCCATGGATACTCACCAGGGCCTAAGTCATTCAGTGGAATCATGTCTCTCTTCGCCCCTGTTGAAATAACAAAAGCGATTACATTCTGTTCACTTCCCAACAATTCCTACATATTTTATGTCTAACTTTAACTTGCTGTTAAAGAAGCAAGTCGGTGACGCAAATAAAAATTAAACCCTATTCCAAGAGTCTCACCTTTGTCTAGCATTGGCATGGTAGTGTCCTCGTAGGTCCCGTTGGTGCGTGTGGAGGGGCCGTTGGCGGGGGGGTTGAGGTTCACCATGAAGTCGGTCTTCTTCCAGCCGTCCTTCTCCAGGGGGCGCCGCAGATCCTTGTGCCCCCAGATCAGCTGTAACACTTGGCCTGCCCCACGTACCTCCCGCTCAGAGCGCTTACTGCAGGACCAATAGACATACACTCCGTTACACATGTACTGTATAGACCCACTATGACCTATCCATCTCAAACAAACACGTACACACAAATGCTAACAATATACTTGTTAATGAGCTTCAGTTCAACACACACACACACACACACACACACACACACACACACACACACTCGCTCTTACCCGTCCTTATTGATGAGCACCAGTCTCTCGATGCCTTGGGAGGCCCTGAGGGTCTTGGCGGCCTCCAGGCTGTTGCCCAGCACCTCAGTGAGCGTGCTCAGTACAGACACCACCGTCTCCTCAGACAGAGGTCGTGCCGACTGGCTCTGGCCACCCGGCAGGTCTGCCACCAGGTGGGGCACAGCGTGCTTACCTATGGAAGGACAGGACGGCTCAGATGCAGAACACAGACTAAAGAGCGGATCTGAAACAATCCAGGAAGGAATGGCATTCTTTCTATATGCTGATGAAGCTGTTTTTCCTCATGTGAAGTTGTGATACCTAACATGCGAATCTGATGCACACACCAACTTACCGAGCAGCTCGCGGTTGCGGTTGTCGATGGCCAGGTTCCTCAGGGCTCCGGACATGGCTCTGACCACACGGTCGTTCCCATGAGCCAGCAGCTCTGCCATCATCGGGAGGCCCTTCTCCAGACGTACCGTGGCCCGGATATACCGACCATACTAAGGGACAGAGAGGGAGAGCGGTGGTTAGAATCATTACCATTCTGAACACTGAGTAGTCATCTTGCGGAGAAAGCATTGGGGTAATGCTACGAATCAGACAATGAGATGCGAGAGGAGGTGGAGATTCAGGGAAAGGTGAGAGATCAGAGGCTGTCCACTCACAGTCCAGCGTCCGGCACACAGGTTCTGTATGGCCCCGGCTGCAGCCTCCAGTACAGAGGGGTTCTGGCTCTCTCTCAGCAGAGATGTGTACACACGCACCACCTCTGGCTGGAACAGCAGCTCATAGCCTGGTAGGAAGAGGGGTTTTAGGAACTGATTCTACGTATTGCATGTATGCTGTGTTTTCATAGGGTGGTTTGACTCACCTTTGGCAGGCGTCGTCCTCTTTGGGATATCAACCTGGTCCGCACTCCCGTCATCCGCATCTTTCTTACCTGGACAGAGACAGAGAGAACAAACAATCTAGAGATCATTCTGATCGAGGTAGATGTAAAAATACATTTTAGGTGCATTTGAATCTGTTCCACCTCAGCCATTTTTCATAGATTCAAATTCTCCTCAGAATGACATCATGGTATCATGCAAACATGGGCACTAGTTGAACAGCATGCACTCAGTGTGTCAAGTCCCACCTACACATCTACTGACTAAGGAAAGGGAAATGTTAAGACCAGCCAGCGTAAGGAAAAGCCCTTATTCAGCCGCAGTGCAATAGAACACTAAGAACAGAATCTTACCTTTGGAAAACCACTCATCTAAACAGGACAGGAACAAAAGAAGGGGGAGGACAGGGGGAGGAGGAGGGACGGAGAGAGAGTGAAAAACAGAAATAGTATGCCAGCTACCAACAAGCACAAACAAACGCGTCAGATCCATAAAAGCAAAACTCAGCCCCCGGCACCCAAAAAGCATACACTGAGTAGGATTACGTTGCCACTAACCACAGATCTAAGATCAGTCTACAGCTTTATCCCCAGGCAGGACTGGGGAGCGGGTAATCTGATCCTAGATCTGGGGTTAAGGGAACTTTTTACCTCTAGCCACAGAACACACAGGGTGAACTACAACCTTTAACAGGCCGGTTACTGACCTTTGCCCTTCCTTGAGCTGAAGCAGCTGGCCTTGTTGGATCCGGGGACGGGGCCCTGGTTTAGGGGCGCGGCCTCCAGGTAGCGCTCGCAGCCGGGAATCTCCCGGTGAACCTGATAGGACAGATTTCTCAGCAGACACACACTGTTCTCCACCAACTACACAGAGAGAGAGGGAGAGTGGAGGTTTTAAAGGGTCTTTATTCAAGCATGTCATTGGGAAAGAAATTAAGAAAATTGACCAAAAAATATGTATAATCAGGTTTAAGCAATCAATTACCTTGTTGTCCACATCTTTGCGGTTGATCTGTGATTGGACAATGTACATGAGTGAGTCCACCAATCCCGTGCACTCCCTCAGCTTCCGCCTGGCCTCGCTACGTTCTGAGCTCACGTTCCTTAACAACAACAGAAAGATAAGCTAAAATGTTAATGGTTTATATTTTCCTCAGATCCAATACCTATTCCCCCTTTCATTCTCTCCTCCACTGATCTCCTGCCGTCCATTTCCTCTCCCCCCACGTACCTCAGACAGCCAGCTGTGTTGGTGAGGGCCGTCTCCCACTCCAGGTGTCGTGGTTTGAGGCTCTCTTCTCCTCCGTCACTTCCTCTCTCCCAGCCAGAGTGCGGCACCATCACCTCGTCAGAGAGGGTGTGTAACGCGTGGTCCACGATCTCCATCTTCACAGAGTCGTGAGACGATAGGTTCCACAATGTGCCTGAGGAAGAGAATGCATTCTTCATCATTTTCATGACTCTCTGGTCTCTGAGTCCAATAACGAGGTACAGGTAACTGCCAAAATAATGGAAACACTTGAGTAAATGAGGGATACAAAGTACACTGCTCAAAAAAATAAAGGGAACACTTAAACAACACAATGTAACTCCAAGTCAATCACACTTCTGTGAAATCAAACTGTCCACTTAGGAAGCAACACTGATTGACAATACATTTCACATGCTGTTGTGCAAATGGAATAGACAACAGGTGGAAATTATAGGCAATTAGCAAGACACCCCCAATAAAGGACTGGTTTTGCAGGTGGTGACCACAGACCACTTGTAGTGCAGCTCATCCAGGATGGCACATTAATGCGAGCTGTGGCAAGAAGGTTTGCTGTGTCTGTCAGCGTAGTGTCCAGAGCATGGAGGCGCTACCAGGAGACAGGCCAGTACATCAGGAGACGTGGAGGAGGCCGTAGGAGGGCAACAACCCAGCAGCAGGACTGCTACCTCCGCCTTTGTACAAGGAGGAGCAGGAGGAGCACTGCCAGAGCCCTGCAAAATGACCTCCAGCAGGCCACAAATGTGCATGTGTCTGCTCAAACGGTCAGAAACAGACTCCATGAGGGTGGTATGAGGGCCCGACGTCCACAGGTGGGGGTTGTGCTTACAGCCCAACACCGTGCAGGACGTTTGGCATTTGCCAGAGAACACCAAGATTGGCAAATTCACCACTGGTGCCCTGTGCTCTTCACAGATGAAAGCAGGTTCACACTGAGCACATGTGACAGAGTCTGGAGACGCCGTGGAGAACGTTCTGCTGCCTGCAACATCCTCCAGTGTCAGCAGTTCCTGCAAGAGGAAGGCATTGATGCTATGGACTGGCCCGCCCGTTCCCCAGACCTGAATCCAATTGAGCACATCTGGGACATTACATTTACATTTACGTCATCTAGCAGACGCTCTTATCCAGAGCGACTTACAAATAGGTGCATTCACCTTATAGCCAGTGGGATAACCACTTTACAATGTTGTTTTTTTTTTTGGGGGGGGGGGGGGGGGGGTAGAAGGATTACTTTATCCTATCCCAGGTATTCCTTAAAAGAGGTGGGGTTTCAAATGTCTCCGGAAGGTGGTGAGTGACTCCGCTGTCCTGGCATCGTGAGGGAGCTTGTTCCACCATTGGGGTGCCAGAGCAGCGAACAGTTTTGACTCGCTCCATCCACCAACGCCACGTTGCACCACAGACTGTCCAGGAGTTGGCGGATGCTTTAGTCCAGGTCTGGGAGGAGATCCCTCAGGAGACCATCCGCCACCTCATCAGGAGCATGCCCAGGCGTTGTAGGGAGGTCATACAGGCACGTGGAGGCCACACACACTACTGAGCCTAATTTTGACTTGTTTTAAGGACATTACATCAAAGTTGGATCAGCCTGTAGTGTGGTTTTCCACTTTAATTTTGAGGGTGACTCCAAATCCAGACCTCCATGGGTTGATAAATTTGATTTCCATTGATAATTTTTGTGTGATTTTGTTGTCAGCACATTCAACTATGTAAAGAAAAAAGTATTTAATAAGATTATTTCATTCATTCAGATCTAGGATGTGTTATTTTAGTGTTCCCTTAATTTTTTTGAGCAGTGTATATTGAAAGTAGGTGCTTCCACACAGGTGTGGTTCCTTAATTAAGCAATTAACATCCCACCATGCTTAGGGTCATGTATAAAAATGCTGGGCAGGCCATTATTTTGGCTACCATGGCTTTGCCCCCATAGGATGCTAATGCCCCCATCCACAGGGCACGAGTGGTCACTGAATGGTTTGATGAGCATGAAAACGATGCAAACCACCAACAACAAAACACCAAATGATGGAATTTCAAATGGAAGAATGGTGTTGCATCCCTCCAATACAGTTCCAGACGCTTGTAGAATCTATGCCTAGGTGCACTGAAGACGTTCTGGCTCGTGGTGTTTGTGTTTCCTTTATTTTGGCAGTTACGTGTATATACAAAACATTAGAACACCTGTTCTTTCCATCACAGACTGACCAGTTGAATCCAGGTTAAAGCTATGATCCCTTATTGATGTCACTTGTTAAATCCACTTCAATCAGTGTAGATGAAGGGAAGGATTTTTAAGACATGGATTGTGTATGTGTGTCATTCAGAGGGTGAATGGGCAAGACAAAATATTTCAGTGCCTTTGAACGGGGTATGGTAGTAGGTGCCAGGTGCACTGGTTTGATCGTGTCAAGAACTGCAACGCTGCTGCGTTTTTCACGCTCAACAGTTTTCCCGTATCAATAATGGTCCACCACCCAAATGACATCCAGCCAACTTGACACAACTATGGGAAGCAGTGGCGTCAACATGGGCCAGCATCCCTGTGGAACGCTTTCGACACCTTGTAGAGTCCATTGTCTATTCGAATTGAGGCTGTTCTGAGGGCAAAAAAGGGGGGGGGGGGGGGGGGGGTGCAACTCAATATTAGGACGGTGTTCTTAATATTTGGTATACTCAGTGTAGGTTATATAACTGAAGTATAGTAAGAATACTACACGGTTGTACTGGTGTTTTACTGTCCCATAAGTAGTACGGTAATAGTAAAGCTGGGTTCTCCCCAAAGAATGCAAGCGGGGCCACCTTGTGGACTAGATGCGTCACTATGTAAAAAAATTAAAATACAAAAATCAACACTATTTGTTATAATTTAAGGCTCTAGATTGCAGGAAATGGCAGTTACAGGTGTTAAAAAACGCAAACATCTCCAAAAGGGGAAAAGAGCCCCCTTCCCGGCCTTCCCCCTGCCTTCCTCATCAGCACCACCTTGTTAAAAAACCCTGTAGAGCAAGTGAGAGAGTAGATATAACAGTAGTATTACCTGTAATGGTGTCTGTGAGGTCTTGCTCTCTGGTCTTCCTCAGTAGCCTGACTAAGGCAGGGATGCCGTCACAGTTCTTGATGGCGATCTTGTTGTCGTGGTCTCGTCCATATGAGATGTTCTTGAGCGCCCCGCAGGCCGAGTGGTGTACGTCCTTCTTGGGGTTGTCCAGCAACGAGACCAGAGCAGGGATCCCCTTTAGACGACGCACCTCCGATTTCACCTACAGACAAACACAACCAACATGGTCATACACCAAACCTATCCTAAAACATATGCTGACACCAGTGCTTTAATACTTGCAATATTCATCATGTCAATAAAAACCTGTGTTTGCAGGTACACAAGGTGTTGTGTTTTACCTTGTCATTCTTGAAGGTGAGGTGCTGGAGGAAGGCAGCAGCGTTGGTTTTGACCGGGTCCAGTCGGTAGTTCAACATGGCGATGACCTCAGGAAGCTCTGGCTGTCTCCAGGAAGTGGGCGGGCCCTTCCTCAGGGTACTGTCCAATGATGCCATACTTCCCCTCTCCATCGCCATGTTGACGCCCCAGGTGTAGGGGTCGACTCCTCCCATGTCCCCGTCCAAAGTGTCCTCACAACTCCTAAGGGACAAATGGAAGCTCAGACGGGACTGTGTTGTGTGTGTGTGTTGGTATGCGAGTATTGCGTACATATACTGATATTGGAGTGATTTGGGTGTGTACTGTAACCATTCGTGTGTTTTTATGTGTGTGTGTGTGTGTGTGTGTCTACCTGAGCCTGCGTCTGTCCAGTCCACCAGGGCCTGGGCCTAGTCGTGGCATGGTGCCGTATCCTGGATGCATGGTGGGAGGAGCCATACTGTACTCCATGTCGTCATATCCCAGACTCCTCTGGTCATCCTCCATGCCATAGTGGCCCTGGTGGGCGTAGCGCATGCCCCCCAGCTCCAGGGCACTGCCCACACCCCTCACCCCTCGCCCCACCTGGGGCTGGGCTACGTAGGGGTCCATCTGCTGTCTGCTGGGGGCGCGGTACCCAGAGTCCAGGGTCCTGTACCCATCCGCAGGTCTGGAGAAGATCAATTATCCCAAAGATAAGGTCATCTTCACAAAAGGAATACTTATTGAAAAGCAGTTTGTAGCATTTTTCTTTACAGTGCTCTTTAGCACTTTTACAAACTTGAACAACAGTGGCAATGTGCCTCATCTAGCGGTGTAGCGCTTGTTAAACTCTTAACGCAAGTAAACAGTCTGTCTGACCTGTAGCGGTCGTCCATGCGTGTGCCTCTGCTCAGGCTGGCGTAGGCCTCAGAGGGCGGGGCGCTCCTGTAGTCGTCGTACCCCCCCGCGGGGCCGTAGTGGTAGTTCCTGGGGACCGTGGCTGTGGGGTAGTCACCCCCTCCACCCTGCCTGTAGGTACGGTCCAGAGTGGCACTGTAACCACCCATGCCCGAGACGGATAGTCCTCCGTCGATGGACATCGAATCAGAGGGCAGGACGGTACGTGAGGTGATCACCTTCATCTGAAGAAGAGGAAGTACATCACAATGAGACAGGAAGTTGTAGAGAATCTTTTGTTCGCCATGGAGGAAATTATTTTCAGTTACATATTAGTTACAGTACAAAATGTGTGTACCACGTTCCCTGCCCGCCGTCCATTGGTTCCATCGTCTGAGAAGACAGAGTGTGCTTCCTGTGAATCATCTTCTGGTGTGCAGCTCTCGTCTAGAGCGTCATGCGCTGGGTCCACCATCCTGTACTGTAATACACACACACACACACACACAATGTTACACACACACAGAGCATCACACACACACACACACACACACACACACAACCAGTACACACACTCACCTGTGTCCCGTTAATGTATCCCTCACTCAGTTTCAGTCGTTCTATGTCTGCCTCCCCCAGGCGCCCGTTCTGAGTAGGAGAGAGAAACCGTCAACCAAGAGAACACACTCATATCCACAGGTGTCTTTAGAGACATTACGGAGGATCCAACTGGGCTATAGCCTAGGCTACAACATCTCCTTACAACCATCCGAACACATTAACCAAACTGACCCCGTTTTTTTAGTACCTCAGCGTCATGGACCACATTTGAATACTTTGACATTGCATCCTTCCTTTCCTTCCCCCTTCTTTGAAGTAATCAATGACCCAACCATTGCCTTTCTTTCACCACTCATTTTATGTTCGATCACTTTAAATGAAGGCAGGAAGGAAGGAGGATACAGACAAATGCTGGGCCTGTGCTGCAGACTCACTTTAGCTGTGTGGCTGGGTGTAATGCCTGCTCTGTCCACAAGGGGTCAGGCCTGTTCCTCCACAATATAGGAGCCGGGTTTGGAAGTATCAGTCACAGGAGGAAAGGTATATTTCCCTTCACATTCTAAAGCTGTTATGGTAATAAGTTAACAACAGAGATAGCTGTGTATGTTGGTGTCTAAACTTGGAATGATACATTGTTATAAACAAGGACACCTAAACCGAGAGAGGCAACACCCACCCAATGGCAGTCATGAGACATTGCTTAGCACGCTGCAAGACTCAACATGGGAGAGGAGACTGACTGGACAACCTAAACAAACCAATTAGCCCTGCTAGGATTATAAAAACAAAGGCAACCCCTTCATCTTCCCTATCAGCTGATGTTTACTCAGTAAAACAGAGGAATTCTCCATGTCTCTTCAGGGCTCTAATTGCATGGTAAAGCATCCAAACATATGATTACATAACATATGAGGTCACCTATGAGAATCACATTAGGAGGGCACCACATCGAGTTCTTGAAGCGACCCCTCTTTTAGTTGATACTGTGTACTGTTTAAAATGATGAAATCTTCCAGAACATTTGACAGGTAGAATGAGGCTGCATGCATGACAACTGACAGCATAATTTCAGGTACAGTTTGGACAACATGCTGGAGCGAAGATGAGAATAGCTTGAATTCCATGACAGAGGTCTGCAAAGGTATGTAAGGGTGGTATGAAGGTTGTGTGTGGTGTGCGGCATGTGTGCGGGTACGGTAAGTAATGTTGGAGTTATGCAGAGGTGCGAGATGCATGGCTTGTTAAAACTGTAGAGATATCTAAAACAGACACGGTAGTGTGTTAAAGGATAAGGGTTGAATTGCAACACACAGTTAAACCACACACAATCTAGAGTGCTGGTTGGGGTGGAGGAGTGGAGCAAGGGATGGCTAGAAGGACAGATGAGGGATATATGAACGGATGGATGACTGGTCTTCCGCCTGAATCTAGAAAGAGGCTTAGGAAAGGTGCAAGCCACTAACAGAGTATTTAGGGGGTTGGGGTGTCAGGGGAAATTTCCCCTGGGGAGATGGGCTGCAGTGTTACCTGTGTGTGGGGGAGGGGGTGGGACGGGGGGCTGGGGAGGCGCACTCTCCTCCTCTCCTCCTCCAGCGCTCTGGTCAGCTGTTCAAACTGCACCTCCTGCTCCCTCACCGACTCCAGGAGGGCCGCAGCGCTCTCACACGGCTCCATACACTCTACAGAGAGAACCGCGTTACACAGACGAGCGTTACACTACAGGGAAACGTTGCACACGCACACTCCATACACTATAGAGAGAACACTACACAGTCTCCTCCATAGCATACAGCTCTAAAGCAAAGAGCAGGAAGCCTCAAATCTCATGAAATCCCTGAGAGGTTTGACCTGCTGCCAAAAGAAAGAAGAGCAGAGATACACACCTTCACCAGGGGGGCGTGGCTTTGGAGAAGAGGTGAGAGGTCAGGCCAAGGTCAAAAGGTTGAGCCCTAGTTGCAGGGGCTCATGGGTAGAGTAGATGTAGGTCACCAAACCACAAGGCCCAGAAAGAAGAGGATGGACAGGGCAAAATAAACTGCAGAGGGACAGAAAGACCGAAGTAAAGAGTGAAAATCAAATATTTACAGTTTAATATTGCAGTAAGAGGATCTCTAAACAACACGAGTATGGAGAGTTAAACACACACACACGTGCTGCTGAGAAAAGAAAACTCACTCCTTAAAAAACATATGTGAATACTACGTATGGTGTGTATCTGTTCATGTGGTGAACAGCCAAGTGGCTATCCCTCCAGACACAATGCAATGGACACACCTACAGTGGGGAGAACAAGTATTTGATCCACTGCTGATTTTGCAGGTGTTCCTACTTACAAAGCATGTAGAGGTCTGTAATTTTTATCATAGGTACACTTCAACTGTGAGAGACGGAATCTACAACAAAAATCCAGAAAATCACATTGTATGATTTTTAAGTAATTAATTTGCATTTTATTGAATGACAAGTATTTGATACATCAGAAAAGCAGAACTTAATATTTGGTACAGAAACCTTTGTTTGCAATTACAGAGATCATACGTTTCCTGTAGGTCTTGACCAGGTTTGCACACACTGCAGCAGGGATTTTGGCCCACTCCTCCATACAGACCTTCTCCAGATCCTTCAGGTTTTGGGGCTGTCGCTGGGCAATACTTTCAGCTCCCTCCAAAGATGTTATATTGGGTTCAGGTCTGGAGACTGGCTAGGCCACTCCAGGACCTTGAGATGCTTCTTACGGAGCCACTCCTTAGTTGCCCTGGCTGTGTGTTTTGGAAGACCCAGCCACGACCCATCTTCAATGCTCTTACTGAGGGAATGAGGTTGTTGGCCAAGATCTCGCGATACATGGCCCCATCCATCCTCCCCTCAATACGGTGCAGTCGTCCTGTCCCCTTTGCAGAAAAGCATCCCCAAAGAATGATGTTTCCACCTTCATGCTTCACGGTTGGAATGGTGTTCTTGGGGTTGTACTCATCCTTCTTCTTCCTCCAAACACGGCGAGTGGAGTTTAGACCAAAAAGCTCTATTTTTGTCTCATCAGACCACATGACCTTCTCCCATTCCTCCTCTGGATCATCCAGATGGTCATCTGCAAACTTCAGACGGGCCTGGACATGTGCTGGCTTGAGCAGGGGGACCTTGCGTGCGCTGCAGGATTTTAATCCATGACGGCGTAGTGTGTTACTAATGGTTTTCTTTTCGTCCCAGCTCTCTTCAGGTCATTGACCAGGTCCTGCCGTGTAGTTCTGGGCTGATCCCTCACCTTCCTCATGATCATTGATGCCCCACGAGGTGAGATCTTGCATGGAGCCCCAGACCGAGGGTGATTGACTGTCATCTTGAACTTCTTCCATTTTCTAATAATTGCGCCAACAGTTGTTGCCTTCTCACCAAGCTGCTTGCCTATTGTCCTGTAGCCCATCCCAGCCTTGTGCAGGTCTACAATTGTATCCCTGATGTCCTTACACAGCTCTCTGGTCTTGGCCATTGTGGAGAGGTTGGAGTCTGTTTGTTTGAGTGTGTGGACAGGTGTCTTTTATACAGGTAACGAGTTCAAACAGGTGCAGTTAATACAGGTAATGAGTGGCGAACAGGAGGGCTTCTTAAAGAAAAACTAACAGATCTGTGAGAGCCGGAATTCTTACTGGTTGGTAGGTGATCAAATACTTATGTCATGCAATAAAATGCAAATTAATTACTTAAAAATCATACAATGTGATTTTCTGGATTTTTGTTTTAGATTCCGTCTCTCACAGTTGAAGTGTACCTATGATAAAAATTACAGACCTCTACATGCTTTGTAAGTAGGAAAACCTGCAAAATCGGCAGTGTATCAAATACTTGTTCTCCCCACTGTATATTGCACAGTAGCTGTGGCTCAGCTGAGACTGCAGCTCTTTTCTGGGCCAGACGAAACACACCGTCAGCAGAGAGGCAAGAACAGCAACTCCCAGGAGCCTTCTCTCCTCTCCTTTGTTTAATGCCCTCCAGTACTGCTCGTCCGTCTCTCCCCCAGCCTATTTCTCGCTCACTCGCCCAACCTCCCCCTCAGCCCTTTCTCTCTCTAACCACTCTCCATCTATTCTTCCCTCTCCCCCTCTGCAAACGCCCCTCTCCATGTCTGTTTCTTTACATTTCCAGCCTCTCTTCAGAGCACACAATAGAATGGACTAGATAGCATAACGTATAAATCAGAGGCAGACAGACACAGGCTCAGAGACAGTAGTAACTCCTCTCTTATCTGCTGATAAAACATCAAGCACCCCCTGGTTCCTGGTTTAAAAAGTCACTATTTGGTAAATCCATTTGATTTCAAATCACTTTTTGACAGCACCCCATTTGATTTGAGCAAAACCTTCCATTTGTATTTGCCCATTGTAGAAGTTTTCAGAAAGTGACTATTAGCCAAAACATAACACCCAACCTGCATTCAAGAGGATCTTGTGTCTCAATTGGTGGAGGGCAAAACACCAAAATCTCAGATGATGTAAAATAGGGTCTAAGCTACAGCGTATATTAAGACTTGGTATGGTGGGGTATGCAAAATGGGTCAACTTGGAGCACCTTTATCTCCCCAATGTTTTTGCATTCAGGTCCAAAAAGTCCCGTACTTTCTGACAACTTATTCCATGGGCAAACATGTATGGAAAGTTTTGTTTAAATCAAAAGGGATGCTGTCAAAAAGTGATTGAATTCAAAATGCACCACACACAAACAAGCACAGACACACACCTGTCAAACCGGTTTGGGTAAGGAGGGGCAAATGTCACTGTCTTTTGACACACAGACAACTCTTTGTATATTACTGCTAGAGCTGGGAATTGCCAGGGACCTCACTATACGATATTATCACGATCCTTAAGTGCGATTTTATTGCAATTTGATGTTCCAAACAGATTGCTCACTATACGTCTGCTGCAGAGGAGACAAGAGAGAGCATGATAAATGAGTTTTGATCAGTCATAGAGAACAAGCTATCCCAAATCAAATTGTATTGATCACATACACATATTTAGCAGATGTTATTGCGGGTGTAGCAAAATGTGTTCCTAGCTCCAACAGTGCAGTATCGTTAACAATTTAGGATGAAAAATACGGGAGTTTTGGCGCAGGTAAAGCCAACTAGCACTAGCTAATGCTACCTAGCAACAAAACACCTTTTTTTTCTCCCTTTTTACAAATCGATACTTGGAGTCAAAGTGATAGGGGTGTAACGGTACACGTATTCGTCCCGAACCGTTCGGGGGACCTTTGTTCGGTCCACTCTATTAACCCAAATGAATACATAAAAATAATAAACCAAAATAGGCTATGCCTACGCTGCGTTGGATTCATCGAGTAAATCTGAGCTGAAAAAACATTTCAGGCTATTCCGTTAAACTGGAGCCTATGCGCACATTGTAATACAAATTCTAATCTTAATTGGCGCATTTCAAACTGTCCTTTTGTGTGGCGCAGCCGGGAACTAGTTCTGTACCATGGCGAGCGGTGTGGTCGATAAACCAGGAGCATCCTCAATCATAGTTTAAATCTCCAGTTTGGGAACATTTTGGCTTCCCAGTATATTGCAATGGCGATGAACAGAGTGTTGTGGATAGAACGTTAACAGTAACTGCTCAGCGAGAATAGCCTATGCAGCTGCCAACACCTCAAACATGTTGACACATTTACGCCGAAATCACCCCAGTATTCCTACCACCGGAGCAAGACGGAAAAGCAAAGAAACAACTTAGTTTCCTCTGACCTTCCTTCGCAGCCGAGTCTGACCGAGGATGGAAATTACAAGAGCAATTGGTGTTTATAGCCGCGGATATGCACCCATTCTCTGTGGTTGAGAAGAATAGGGGGGGTTCAGGCAGTACCTCGTGAAAGTGCTCGAGCTACTTTACGAACTTCCCACTCGCACCCATTTCAGCAAACAGGTAGTACCTGCTCTATACAAGCAAGCCAAAGCTGAAGTTGTCAATGAGTTGGCCAATGCACCCTGTGTTGCGCTCACTACAGATGGATGGGCCTCCAGGGCTACAGAGAGAGCTACTTAACAGTGACATCACATTACCCCGGAGTGGGAGATGAGAAGTATCGCGCTACAGACACCCTCCCCTTTGTGAGAGTCACACAAGTGTGCATCTTTTTCTCTTTGTAAGAAAAACATTATAGTATAGGCCTATACAATGTCTGAGCCATGATTACATATTGATTTCACAAGCATATTGCACTTTATTTTAGTTTTTTTTAAATGAGGAATGTGTGTTTTCACAAATGAGGAATACAAAAATTAACTACAGTAACTGTTGGCATTTTATTTTCCAGCTGTACTGAAACCGAACCGTGACCCGAAAACCGCAAATAGTACCAAACCGTGGGTTTAGTGAACTGTTACACCCCTATATGTAACTACCTATTTTCCCCCCACCACTAATTACCACCTCTCTCAAGAAATGTGGTTCAGGCAACAAGGACCTGCATATACACTTCTTGCAGCAGGTGTGTGAGAGAGATCTATACAGAAATGGGGAGGTGTTGACAAGGTGTAATAAGGTGAAAGGAGGAACAGAGGTGCCTTGTGACATGGGAAGCGGGCTGACTCACAGTTTCACCAGTGGGGGACAGTGTGAGTGAGTGAGTGAGTGAGTGAGAGCGAGAGAGCCGCGAGGCATAAGCGAGATAGCGCGCGAGGCAGAGCGAGAGAGCGCGCGAGGCAGAGCGAGAGAGCGCGCGAGGCAGAGCGAGAGAGCGCGCGAGGCAGAGCCGAGAGAGCGCGCGAGGCAGAGCGAGAGAGCGCGCGAGGCAGAGCGAGAGAGCGCGCGAGGCAGAGCGAGAGAGCGCGCGAGGCAGAGAGAGCGAGCGCGCGAGACAGAGAGAGCGAGCGAGAGAGACAGAGAGAGCGAGCGAGACAGACAGACAGAGAGAGAGAGACATACATAGAGAGAGAGACATACATACATGAGGACAGACTGGAATGTGATGAGTAGGACTGCCCTTTAAACAGTAGAAATAGGACCTCTAGCTGCCTCGTCTGCTCCTGTCTGGTGACTC